CACTCACCCTCATTTACAATGATATGATTTTTTTGGTCTTGGATGGCCGCTTGTTTATCTTCAAGCCTTCAAGACTCCAGATGCTACATCTTTTGATAGCTGGGCAATATCAGCTTTCTTCACATTTACTTATGCACACATTTATCTTCAGCGATCATGCTGGGAAGGTGTGCATCATGGAATGCCAATTTAAAAGAACAAAGTGTTCTTGCATTGAGTAAGTATTTGAGTGAAGGTCCAATGTCCATCTGCTGCCTTAATATTAAACCTATAAATACATGCACTTAGATCTATTTCCCCATGATCCTATATAAATAGTTACATATGTACATGCCTGTATTTAGACCTCTATAAATGCCCTTAGCCTCTATTTCCATTTCCATTCCTCTTGTCCTTCTAAAATGCTCAGCCTTCATTTGGGTTTCAGTAATTTCTCTCAGTTTCATTGCCCTTGCTTAATCCCTACCAGGCCTCCTACACCCTCTTCACCACTGATTTGGATCACTTGTTGCTTCCTTGTCCCTGAGTTGGTCAATACCACCTCCTTTCCCCCACCTCCACCACTCCCATGTTCCCCTGAACCATCTGTCCCGTTGTTTTCTCCTACAGACTGTTCATCTTACTTATCTTTTCTAGATAGACCTGCAGAGATAATAATATGCACTAAAAAACAAGGCATAGCAAGACAAAGCGATGAAAGAGAAGACAAATGATGACAACAAAGACAGCCAGTGACCAAAAATTAATTAATTAATTTCACCAAAATGAATTAATTAATTTTTTTAAAAGAAAACCCTGTAAATAGATCAAAGTCCGTGTTTTGACCTCTAGGAGTGCCCTCCAGTGGAGTCCTATGGAGTGCCACGTTCTGGGACCAAAGTCTATCCTTTGCATTCCCTCGGGAGCTCCCTGCTCTGCTCCCCCTGTTACTCTGCCACATGCCCTTAGTGTTTTGCCTCAGTGTGGTGGTGCAGACCAGGCCATCCTGACACTGAATCTCCAGTGTTGTCCCCCATAGGGCCATGGGTCAGCGAGGGACACCATGTCTCATAGGGCGTCAGCCATATGATCCACTCTGTGCAGTAACTGTTATGAGCAGGGATATCGTCCTCCAGGCTTGGTGGGCCAGGATGTGCTCCACTCTCTCTTCCTCCCCATTCATTTGCTCTCATGTGCTCTGATCAGACACGTCCCTCTCCCTGAGCTGCAACTTCAGTGCTGTCCTCTGAAGTAAATTCTCCTAGTGGGAGGGGCAGTTGTCCAGGTAACTGGGACTGGGGCTCGGCCCTCACACCCCACCACTGGCTCCCTCTCCATGCCGGCATGCTGGATTCATATCCCGGAACACTGTACTTGAGTCTGGTCCCTCGTTCCCTGTGGAGACAAACAATACCCTCCCCTTGGGTGGGTCAATGCCCTATTTCCCCACTACACATGTCTATCCTTTTTCCCCCTCCCCCCCACCCTTCTTTTCAGTTGGCTACCATATGTACCTCTGGATTTGTTCTGGCCATACTACCTGCACCTCACTCCTGGAGTGATTGTACAAATTAATTTTTTCTCTATGACCCTTTTGCATTTCCTTTTTTAAAAATAAATTTACGTCAGCAGACTCATGTTGTACTTGTACTTTTGTGCTTGACTTACTCCACTTAGCATAATTTCCTCCAGTTCTTCCTATGTGGTGATATGTTTCATGTGTTCATCACTGCTTTTTAGTGAGGCACAGTACTCCATTGTCTGTATGTACCATAGTTTTTTAATCCATCATCTGTTGGTGGAAATTTGCGTCGTTTCCATCTCCTTGCAATTGTGAACTGTGCCACGATGAACATTGGAGCACAGATAGATGTCTGGCTGTAGTTTGTTTCTTGTGTCTTCTGGGTATATGCCCAGTAGGGGGATTGCTGGGTCTTATGATATCTCATTTTCCATCTGTTTTAGAAATCGCCAAATCGATTTCCATAGTGGCTGTACATACCCCCAGGTCCACCAGCAGTGGATGAGTGTTCCTATCTCACCACAGCCTCTCCAACACTTGTTTTCTTATTTTTTGAGTTGGGCTATCTTTGAGGATGTTAGGTGGTATCTCATAGTTGTTTTAATTTGCATTTCTCTTATGGCTAATGATCAGGAACATTTTTTCATGTTTATTGCCCATTTGGATTTCAGACTCTCTGAAACTTCTGTTCAGGTCCTTTGTCCACCTCCTCATTGGACATTTAGTTTTTCTCTTATTGTAAGTTTGCAAAGTATTTCAGATTTTAGGAATTAGGCCTTTGTCTGATGTGTCATTGCTAAAGATGTTATCCCGGTTGGTGGGCTCTCTTATTAGTCTTTTGGTGAATTTTTCTATGAACACTGGTGACTTATCCTCAGTATATCCAACTTGTCTATTTGTGACGCCTCTGTATTTGTATTCTTCCCAGTTAAGGTAGCCTATGTATTTACTGTGCCAAAGTTCTCAGGTTTGTCCCAATTCCCCCATTGATGGCCCTAATTGTTTGGGGTTTTATGTCAAGGTTTTGTGGTTTTGTGATCCATCTTAAGTTTATTCTTGTGCATGGAGTGAGGTAAGGTTCTTGCTTCATTTTTCTGCAGGTAGATATCCATTTTTTCCACCACCACTTATTGAAGAGGGCATCTGCTTCCCATTTGATATATTTTGGACCCTTATCAAAGATCAGTTGCCTG